GAGTCTTTTTTTGGTTTTTTTTTTCTGATGAGTATTCATGATACGAACTTAAGGCGACTCTGAGCAGCAAAGGCATTCCCCAACTGGCTGTGGTTATGGGTAGCTGTACCGCTGGAGGAGCTTATGTTCCAGCTATGGCAGATCAAGCAATCATAGTTAAAGGAACTGGAACAGTCTTCCTTGGAGGACCTCCACTAGTCAAAGCGGCAACGGGCGAAGATGTGAGCTTCAGTTACTTTTATCACGCTAGAGCAAAGCGAAAATTTCCTGCCTTCATTTATCCGGAAAGCTTTCCTTGTCAGATTTTTGATCTGAAGCCCAGCTAGCCACTGCTTTGCAGATTTCTGCCGAAGAGCTCGGAGGAGCTGATCTTCATTGTAATGAGTCTGGCGTAACTGACTACTATGCCCACAACGATGCCCATGCTCTGCATTTGGCACGGAATGCCGTAGCTGGAATGGGACCACCTACAGGAGCCACCGAATTCGCTGATCACTGTAAGTGGCTGATATTTTCTTGAAGAGCTTCTCGCCTTGTTTTATGTTAGGTCGCGTTGGCCGCTTTGCTGCTCTTGAAGAGTGCGCCTGAAAGGGTTATACATAGTATCTTTCGCTGCGCATGACTGCGTTTGGCGCTGGACCAATCCTTTTTTTCTGCATCGTTTCCTTAATATCAGTCTTTTTTCACCATTTGTCACTAATCCTCTTCAGCTAGTGGAGAACAAGCTGGCGGGCACCAAACGCGGCCGGGCTGACACACCCCTTTATCCGCAGTGAACGAGTCGATTTGGAGAATTTGATAATTGCTAGTAAGGAGACTATCCAAACAGAACAAATTGAAATCGATTTGTGGAATCTTCCTGTGTAGGAGAATCGATTACTAGCTATGCCTTTTTGCGATCCTCCAAATGGGCACCTTGCAAAACCTTGTGTGATCAATGCTTTACTAAACATTTTCAGTTGAAGAACCCTTGTACCCTGCTGAAGAGTTACTCGGAATTGTTGGGGCGAACCTCAAAAAGACGTTTGAAGTGCGGGAAGTGATTGCTCGAGTAGTTGATGGTTCTCGCTTTGATGAATTCAAAGAGCGTTACGGAGAAACTCTTGTGACTGGTAGGTTATTAATTGTATATAGTCTTTTTAGACGACAGATTTCAGTTACTAAGTGCTTCTTTTTCCAGGATTCGCAAAAATTTTTGGTCAGCCTGTTGGAATTCTCGCCAACAATGGTGTGCTGTTCTCGGAATCTGCTATGAAAGGAGCCCATTTCATTGAGTTATGCTGCCAACGAAAGATCCCTCTAATCTTCTTACAAAACATAACCGGTTTCATGGTGAGCAATGTTGTTTCACCTTTTATTCATTTCTCTTTCATTTTTTGAAGGCAGCGTGGACTTGGCGAACGCTCGCAATAGACTGTTTGAAGGAGCACATGATTTGTTGGAAACTTTCAGAAAGGGGAAGCATATGTACACCCGCGATTTCTGAACTCGGCGATAAAGAAGTAGGCAGGGTTGCTGACTCCACCCACGAACGAAGTGCGATTTCGCTGGAGGAGGTAGCGGGCGGAGTCACTATGTTCCTACCTGTTGTTCTCCGAAATCCTTTTCTTGCCAGATCGATAGTCCCCTTCGCTGATTTACTGAAATTGCCTATCCTTTCGCATCTGTACAACATGAAGCAGCTGCTAAATTTTGTTCCTAGCTAGCATTCCACTAAGATGTTATGTTTGTGAAACTGTGCTTTTATTCAGGTTGGACGTGAAGCTGAAGCAGGAGGAATTGCCAAGCATGGCGCTAAACTGGTGACTGCCGTGGCATGTGCTTCTGTCCCTAAGTTAACTGTTCTGATCGGTGGATCATATGGAGCAGGAAACTATGGAATGTGTGGCCGAGCGTATAGTCCACAGTTCCTGTTCATGTGGCCGAACGCACGCATTTCTGTAATGGGTCGCGTACAAGCCGCTAATGTTCTCGCAAACTGTTCAGCGTGACAACGACACGAGAAGGGTCGCCAAGTGACCTCAGGTACATCTCACAGTACTTACGCTTGATCGTACTGATCTGATTTTGTTTACGAAGGACGAGGCGCTGAGAAAACCTGTGGAGGAAGTTCGAGAAAGAGGGTCATCCATACTTTGCATCAGCACGACTTTGGGATGATGGTGTCATAGACCCTCGTGAGACTCGTAAAGTATTAGGCTTGACGCTACAAGCTACATTGCAGAAACCGATTCCTGAGACTAAATTTGGTGTTTTCAGAATGTAGATATTTCTCTAGTTAGTACGCTCTCTAGTCTTTAGTATGTGTGTGACTCAGAAATTTTAGTGTTAGTAGACTAGTGCTAGATTGGTATACCTCTCACCTTGTTACCCATAACGTGTCACATCAGGAATTTTTTACTGTGTTATCCGGTGCCAAACATATTTTGCTCATAATGGCCAGATTTTTTGATATTCTAGGAAGTAGGAACCTTGTACAACTCTCGATAAACCTCAACATTGTCCGTGATATGGGAGCTTTCTTTGAAACTGCTCTCGAGGTTCTTTTCCGGCTAACATTTCGTAAACTGATAAGGGATTATTAACAACCTTGAGAGGAGCTTAAGAGGGGAGCAGTTCACATCACTAGGAACCGTTTCAGTTTTGACACTTTTTAATCTGTGATGTTAAAACACTGACAGGAATCTAAATAAACATTAAACTTCAGCAGTTATTCAGTTTCAAATGTCTTTCCCCATATGTTCAGGGCACAACATGGAGTAGAGTTATTTAATCAAAATGAAGTAAGAGGATCGTGAGAAAGTGGTACCATTTCAGGAATTATGCTTCCGAAGTGTATGCTTTTGGTCATCGTATTGGTGCCCCTGATGTACAACCAGAAGAGCTTGTTAAGGTGTGGTTGACTCTATTTGGAGGTTTAACCTTTAGGCTGGGTTCATACTTTGCGTCAGCGTTTTGAGCGGCAGGGGAACGTATCGATATCGATGTAGTGTTTTGAAGTACGGCGTACGCCAGCGTTTTGAGCGTTACGTCACAACGCTGACGCAAAGCGTGAACGCACTCTTGGTGTTCTCCCAATGAGTTGGTGCTCTCCGAAGCATTGCTGAACGTTTTTCTTCAACGTCAACTGTGTGTTATGTAGGCATTGACGATGAGTTCTTTCTACACACGTGCTGACGTTGAAGAGGGTGCTGCTGGTGCTGCACCGAGCCAGTCATCTGAAGTTGGTGAGGGTACTAACACGGAATTGGTTGAGAAAGGTATTTTTTTGCCTCGTATTATTGAGCTTTTTGAGGTACAAGACGCACTGATTTGCAAGGTTCGCAGAGAATCGCGCGAAAGCTCGGCCAACAAAGGATCATAGCAGTTTTGCGATTTTTTGAGTATTCCAACCTCTTTGTCGATTTTCAAACTAGTATAGATCGCTCGATAAGAATCAGCAAAAAAAAAACTGAAATAGAGAAAACATTGCGGTGTTTGGAACCAAGCTGCGTCTTATACTCCGGAAAAAAAATGCTTACTTCCTTCACCATCAAGCTATCCTTTAAGGTCGCGAATTTATATCGCAAGTCCTCTCTTCTTACTTGCGATGCCAGCTTCCACTCGCTCCAGAGGAATTTGTGCAAGCCGTTGTTACGCAGCTGAGCTCCGATCAACAACTGGCTGATATCGCAAAGCATCTAGGTTTGTTTCAACCTCAAAGTTAATTGTTCGAATATTGGGATGCTTTTCTGCTATCGTAAGGTAGCCGTTCGGATACCTGCCCCGCTGGAAGCGTCTGAATAACCGGCGGTGTCCGGCTTGGGAGAAGCACCTTGCAGTTCCTAGGTCCTTTTGCAAGTTCGTGTTAATTAACATTTTATGCTTTGGCGAGACATGTAAATCCTATGAAGATGCAAATTGTATGAGCAAACCACTTCGGTCGCAGGAATGTACAGGTTGTCATAAATTAGCTTCGCGAAGTACCATTTGTTGCCCCCACCAAGTCGAACAGCGCCAAATAACCTCGGTATGTCCATAGGCGTCTAGATAATCCTGGTGGCACTTTCAGTTGGCTATTCCTATCGATCTTAGGCTTGAGCCTAAGTTAGTGCAGATAGTATAGCAAGAGCCGCTCCTTTCTCCTATGTGTTACTGGAACGGTTTGCTGTATCCGGGCGTTTGTTCTTGTTGAGCAGTCTTTTCTAGCCACTTGCCGCTTTTTCGGGAGGATTCCTCTGAACTGATTCGCTGTCACGTGAGGATTTCATAGCTTGGTAATTTTCTGGTAGGAGAGCATATTCTTGCGGAGCAAAATTATTGCATATTCCGCTAAAATCTTTGCATCCAGACGAGATTTCCCAATTTTTCAAGTTCTATGAAGAAAACGTTTAAGGTTCGTTATGACAACTGCTTTTTAACGCCGCAGTACGCGTTCCGAATGTTATCACAAAATGCTG